GGGCCTCCTGGTGTAAATTGATTTGGTCAAAATGCCATGTTAAAAAACTGAAGCAAGGGCCTCCTGGTGTAAATTGATTTGGTCAAAATGCCATGTTAAAAAACTTAAGTAAGGGCCTCCTGGTGTAAACTGATTTGGTCAAAATGCCAAGTTAAAAAATGTGAAGTAAGGGCCTCCTGGTGTAAACTGATTTGGTCAAAATGCCATGTTAAAAAACTGAAGTAAGGGCCTGCTGGTGTAAACTGATTTGGGCAAAATGCCAAGTTAAAAACAAAGGAAAAAGGACAACTCAAAACACACGAAAGTCATCTAACCATGTTCCTTGAGGGAACGAACGACATGTTTGTTTGTTTTTGAATTTCGCGCAAAGCTACACGAGGGCTATCTGCGCTAGCCGTCCTTAATTTAGCAGTATAAGACTAGAGGGAAGTCAGCTAGTCATCACCACCCACCGCCACGAACTATATGTGCGAAGCTGCCCAAACAACATGTGCCTTCTATAAACTGAACGTAAGATGATATGGTTATTTTAAATGTGAAATCAGCTAATTTGATACTGCTCTTATAAAATATAAGTGGCATATTTCAATCATTTATGAAGAGCATTGCTTTAATGTTTGCGTCACATTTTAGTCAAATAAACATGAAATTCGACTACGTCATTTTTACATCAGTTCAGATACTTTGTCGTACTTGATGACTTATAATTGTTCTAAATCAGTTTATCCAAAATTGAAGTGTTTTTTTTTATAATTTTGAGCCTTAAAATGTATTTCTGTCTTGTAGCCAGAAAACGAAATTATGGAACATACTTATGATACACACACATTGATATGTGAGTATAAGAAAGTCGCGAATATTTTTAACGAAAGTAATTACTTTTAGTATAAAACTGAAATTTTGGAGTAGTTGAAACAGCTAGTTGCAACTTATTTTGACTAGTTATGTGGATATAATACGTAAACATCAAATTATAAATCATTCTTTTGACCTTAGAGCTTTTTGTTACCATTTCTTATATCTACGATGACGGCTCGGCATGGCCAGGTGGATAAGGCGCTCGACTCGCAATCTGAGGGTCGCAGGTTCGAATCCCC